ATCTAAAAAAAAAAAAAAAATAAAAAAAAAAACATTTTACAAGAGAAATCAGATAAAAAATAAAATACAATCAAGCATATTTAGAATTTAATATCAGATTTAACAATCCACTTTTAATGTTTGATTTAACCAGCATATTTTTATTTTGTGGGGCTTTGCTTAAATTATTATACACTATTGTTTACTACAAGGACCAAGTGCCGCTCAAGGCAGAGGGTTAATGTATGGGAGTTTTTTTACAGACATATGAATTTAAGATTATGAGGATATGCAGAATAGATAATGGTTGGTCCTAGACTTGAAGTTGTTAAGATTTTAGTGGCAGGAAGCACAAATCAGAGTCTGTTCCAAAAAAAAAAAAAAAAAAGCAAATTATTTTGGGAAGAAGCTGTCTGAATGGAGATGGTTTACTCCTATATACATAGCCCAGTGGGTCTTGGGTGCAAAGGTCTGTACTGGTGGTATGAGGTAATGTAGATCATCAGAACATTTTCCATGGAAATATCAACAGATTACTGATAGGCTTGTGACTTTTCTACAGGAAAGAGGTTGTAGGGTGTAAAATAATTCATCACCTACAAGGGTGTGTAAATGCTTTTCAACTTTATTAGGCTGGAAAGAAAGGATTGGGGCAGGTAGTGAATATCTCTACAGAATTCAATTACTCACATTTCCTCCATATTCCAATTGTAAGGAGGAAGTTCCACTCAGACACCTTTTCCTTAAAAACTGCTACTCTGTGGAACAGATTCCCATGTGGGTGCTTTCGTGAATGCTACAACCTTAACCTCTCTTCAAGTCAATGGTCAATTTATATTAATCTTCCTTATCCTCATAATCTTCACTTCCTTCTAACTCCTCTTTATATCCTACACCTCATTCAGTAACCCTCTACCATGAGTGGCTCCTGAGCCTTGTATTCATTTCACTTTTATTAAAGCTTCATCAGAGAATGACCAGAATTTTGTTGTCCATATTTAAATTCTCTGATGTTTTTTTAATAAAGTTTGAAAAAGATGAAAATAAACTTTCTGCTTTTAAAATCATTTACAATCCATATATATATATATATATATATATATATATATATATATCGCTCACTCGACTCTCCCTTCGAATCCGATCTATGAGGGTCAAGCAGATCAGTTCCTAGGAAACCGACAGCCCGACAACAGCACATGAGATTTGATTATAGTGGTGAAGGTTTCGTGCAGGACCATCCACACTTTTTGAAGGGCCGATTACAGAGACCTGGTGCACTACGTGCCACAAGGTCCCCAAACGACCCTCCGCAGGTCTTGAATTCAGAGTTGTCCTTCTCCTAGACCATTTGCCATGCAAGGCTATAGAACCCAGTCTGTCCTGCTATTTTACCCATAGCTGAAGGGAGAAGAAGATTCATACCTTTCTCAAGGATATTAGCATGTAAGTGAATGTAATGGATTCGACTGGAATTCGAACTTGGCTCTCCGATTCCTCAATCCAAGCTGATATCCATTACTCCAACATGCCTCCTATATATATATATATATATATATATATATATATATATATATATATATATATATATATATAACATGCCTTATATATATTTATATATATATATGATGGATAATATGAAATTTAGCTAAAATGTTACATAAGGTCATTGAAAGCAAAGGAAATAGTTTCATGCCTGAATAATGATGCTATGAATTCATATGAATAAAAGAGCTTATATAAAAACTGCTGGAGACTTTTACAAAATACAAATATCATAAATGGTCGATTTAGCGCCCCCACCCCCACTAAGGACCCCCCAAGGAATTTAAAATAAGCATCCCTCTCAAATAAGTGTTCCAGGATAACTAAATTAATATATTAGAGGAACAAAAGGGGGCACTTATTTGGATTTGGGAGTTTACATTAATTTAATCAAAATATGTTTTTCTTTAAAAATTTTTTAAATAAGTACCCCAGGTGCTAAATCAAGCATTTATGGTACGATGGTAAATTTCATACCAGAATAATAATGGTAAGAATTTATAAAAGACCTTGTCAAAAATAAATAAACATGTAAAAGATAAAAAGCAAAACATTGGAAAATTTTGGAAAAAAAAAAAAAAAAAAATGATGGATTAAAGAATTTAACTGAAAGGTAATATAAGGTTACAGAAAGCCAAGGAAAATACTATGATGACTGAAGGCTATGAATTTATATTATTAAAAGATTTTGACAAAAAGTTGCTGTAAACTTTTCCATCCACTTAATACGGTCCAGAGAAAATACTTTAATGACTGACCAATAAATATATATTTTCATCTAAAGAAAAAAACGATAGATATGAAAGGATTGGTGTAGAGTTACCAACTATGAATTTCTGTCCAAAGAATCAAATGATTGATTCAAACCAGTACTGTTCCATATTAAACCAAATGAAAATAGTAAACTATGAAAAAATACCTGGAATTAATTAATAGAAACATTGTCATATTCCATCAGAATAATGTTTAACTTTTGTTAACTGTTTGGTGACCAGGCAAAATTGTTCCAAGCTGGCCAAGAACTTTTCATTTGTCTTCCTTTTTTACCAGATCTCGTGTCTTTGAATGACCATTGATTCTATAGCCTTCAGAAAAACAATGTCAATTCCATGGAAGGAACCAAGAGTAGTTCCTTGTTGCAAAAAAATAAAAAAATTCTTTGATGGTGGAATTTGAAAGTTGATTGAAAATGCCACGAGGTAAAACAAGAGTTGAATAAAGTTAATACCAAAAAGAAAACAAGTTCATTTGATTCTTATTTAAAATGTTCACATGACAAAATAAAAAGCCAAAGAGTCAACTTTCGAGGCTGAATAATGAGGCTATGAACTTATTTTAATAAAAGCTATTATAAAAACAACACTGGAATTTTTGGGTCAGCCTGATATTTTTTTTTACAAATAGTTACCGTTTTTCAGGATTTTCTTTACAATTTGACTTTGTTTTATTCTGAAAACTTATTTTATTTATTTGTGTTGTTCTTTAAAAAGCAACAAAGAAATTAATAAAAAGTTAATCCGTAAATAGCTTCAAAGTTGGATAAAAAAAAACAAAGGATTTATTGCAACAGACAACTAGCTTAATCCAAGTAACAGGATTAGAGCAATAAAATATTTGATAAGATAGATTAGAGAAACCTGTTGGATTATGAAAAGGTACAATGTTTATTTATTTTATGGCGACATGGAAATTCCATAAATATTGGTAAATAGAAAATATATATTGATTTTATAGCAATAATTATGATTTAAAAAATTTATGTGGTATATTCACAGGTATTGTATATGATATGTCCCAGAAAGGGATATATTTGAATGAAGTAGCTAAGTGGTTTTGGCTACTATAACCAAGTAGAATATGGTAGCAGTAATTTTTGGTATAATTCAATTCAGGTAAGAAATGTAGATCAATATAAATAGTCCAATGGGCATCGTTATAGACTTAGCTCTCAGACTAAGGCTCTGACTCTCCTACACGTCTGTCGGTATTTATGATGGACACCAGCCAATCATATTCCAGTGAGGGGGAACACAGGTGTATGCATATTCCATTATATCAGTATATTTAAATACTTTTGGCCTAAAAGTTAATTTTAATTTCAAAGATAAAGTATAAATAAATATTTATATATTAATAGTATAGAATTTACCTACCTACCTATAGTATATATTATGTTCCAAAAGAAAAAGAAAAACAAAAATTAAAGCTTCACCCACTTTAAAAAGATCATAGGGGTAAAGGAGTCATGAATCTCATTTCAGTAAGACTGTCTTTCATCTCCATCCCTTTGTTTACCAGATTTTGTTCTCATTTTCTTTGAGCATTTTTTACTTACCCTCTACCCCGCCCCCTTCTCACCCTCTACCCTACCCCCTTCTCACCCTCTACCCTGCCCCCTTCTCACCCTCTTCGCTGCCTATTTCCTCAATTCTGTTGTCATGTAGAAATAAACAGCCAGTTGATGGCTGTTACACGCATACATACACACAAGAGAAAGAATGTGTGTGTGTGTGTGTGTGTGTGAGAATATCAAACTCAACCCTGTCAGTTTTATGCCTCAATGCAATCTTTTTGGTCTGAAGTTTGCATTCAGGCATGAAACTGATAGTCCCCATGATGTTACTGATTCTTATGTCCACACATAATATATATAAGTTGAATTCAATGCACTCAACATGCAAAGGCCCGAAATAAATACTCCTATCTTCAAAAGCAACACAAAAATACATCTTACATAGTCAAAGCATGAAGAGAAATTAACAGCTCCTAAAACAAACCCCACCTTGAAATTGGTTAAAAGGAGTGGCTGAAACACTTGGGGCAACGGACTCACTTATTATTCACTCCCTTACTCCCATCAAACAGAAAAATTAAATAAAAAATTAATAAAATTTTCCTTGTCTGTCATATTTAATGAAAGACATTAAAAAAAAAAAAAAAATAATAATAATAGTTGCTGGCCAAATATATATAAGTGGACACTGAAGTCAACACATAGAGGCAACAGTTTTTCATGCTAGACACAATCATCAGGCCATCCTGACGATTGCATCTAGCATAAAACAGCCTGTCGCCTCTAATTGTTGACTTCAATGATCACTTTTATCTTTACACATGCTCTATCTCTGATATTGAGCACTTTATTCCATAAATATAGCACACCTTAAGACTATATTTCTTATATATATATATATATAAAATGGAGGCATAGTGGAGTAATGGATTGCAGCTCGGATTGAAAAATTTGAGAGCCAAGTTCAAATTCCAGTCGGATTCATTACATTAACTTACATACTAGGAAAAATATGAATCATACTTAGGAAAAATATGAATCAATCTCTGCCCCACTAGCTATGGGTAAATAGTAGGACAGTCTAGAAGGAGAACTCTGAATTCAAAACCTGTGGAGGGATTTTTGGGGACTTTGTGGCATACTGTGCACCAGTTCTCTGTATCCAGCGAGACAGAAAAGAAACTAGATAGAGAGAAAGGAAGAGAAAGGTAGATAGGTAGAGAGAAAGGAAGAGAAAGGTAGATAGGTAGAGAGAATTTAAGAGAAGAAAATGAATGAGGTAATTCATAGAGAGAAAGGAAGATAGGTTTTAAAAAAGTGAACAAGAAAGGTAGATAGGTAGAGAGAAAGGAAGAGAAAGGTAGACAGGTAGAGAGAAAGGAAGAGAAAGGTAGACAGGTAGAGAGAAAGGAAGAGAAAGGTAGGTAGATAGACAGAAAGGTAGGTAGATAGATATACAGAAAGGAAGATTGTGTTTCCACAAGGTGATAAGATAATCCCACTAAGATACAAGCAGCTACTGAGTGTAAGTGAATAGGTGAAAAAGAAAAAGATTAAGAACAGTAATCAGGAAGACAGTAGATAACAATTACATTCAATTTTTTAAAGATCAAAGTTAACTGGAAAGCAAAGAACCAGAAATGTTCCACAAGCAAGAAGTGTGAGAGAAGAAATTGTTAGCATAAAAGTTATGGTTACATCTAGCCATTTCAACTCTAAAGTGTTGAGACCTAACTGCCACTCTAGTACATTAGCTACATTACTGCATTTGATGTGCTTATCAAATTTTATCTTGAAAAGTTGCAAGTTGGTTTTAAATGAGCAAAACACGACAAGAACACATATATATATATATATATATATATATATATATATATATATATATATATATATATATATATATATAGCAGTTATTCATGTGGGAAGTGAAATCTGCATTGGGCACCATCTGTGAGAAAAAGAACACCAATTCGCTCCCACAGAAATTAGGAAACGACATGCTGTACTGCTCCGTATTGATGCTGGAAGATCCTATATGAATATTTCAGAATGTTTGGGTGTCAATCTAAGGACAGTGCAAAGGACTAGGAAAGAGTTGGATGATACAGTGTAAACCGGATATAAGAGAGTTGTTGGGACCGGAGAAAAGTCTCTTATATCGGGTTTGGTCTAAAAAGGTAAGTATGGGCTCTAATTTGGGACCAGAGAAAATCTCTTATATCCGGGTTTCTCTTATATCCGGGTTTCTCTTATATCCGGGTTTCTCTTATATCCGGGTTACACTGTATATTCAGTCAACATCATGGTGCTTGGAGTGATCACCAATGATGGTGACATTATGTCTCCATTCATCTATCGTCAGGGCCTCAGACTCAACATGGAGGCCTATATCAAGTGCCTTGAGGAGGTAATGCCGAGACAAGAGGGTGGCTGCTAGAAAACCCTATGTCTTGCAACAGGACTCTGCATCATACCACACAAACAGGAGAATCCAGTTATCCTGTCCAACAATTTCTGCTAACACATGACCCCTTACATCTGGCCACCTAACTCCCCAGACTGCAACCTCCTTGATTGTTATGTGTGGGGTGCAGTTAAGTGAGAAACCAACAAAAAGATGAATGGAAGGCAAAGATTATGGCAGCATTCACCAACTTAAATAAGGAGAATGTCCAAAAAAGTTGCAGGAAATTCCAAAGTTGTCTGGAGACCATGGCTGAAGCCAATGGCAATTTTATTGAATAAATGTACTCTTTAGTATTTCAAGATATTTTTGTGTAATTTTGGTAAATATATCTGTTAAAATGAGATGTCAGTGTTATTTTCATTTTTCCTAATTTAGATGACTATTCATCCATCACACCCTGTAAAGGGGTTGTGACGTCCCTTGAATTCTTAAAATGAGTCAAAATGAAAACCATTTCTTGAACTAAAAATATTCAGATTCATCCGAGAGGAAACTAGCAAGACCAACGCCCAGGTCATTCATGAGAACGGTTTTAGAATTTAAATTCCATGGCACCAAACCCAACCCTTCTGAGAATTAGAAAAAAAAACAAAAACAAGAAGATGCAAGAATTTTGATTTTTTGAGATTGAAAAAAATCTCTGCAAGTGAACAAATCCCAAAATTAAAATTAATTTCTTGAAGGACACACCCATATGCACTAGCTATAAGCATCCTGGAGACTTTTATAAGGTCAGCCACACCTAATTATTACCCAAGTGCTTCTTGGTATCAATAGATTCTTTCAGGCACTGCAAAAGAAAATTCTTTCAAACAAATCAAAGTTTTATAAAAAGAGAACACCTCATAATGCCAAAAATAAACTGATTATGAAAGATAAAAGTGGATTACAATTAATCTCATCCAAGTAATCTTATTTCTCATGCTTGTTTGCACCTTGTATTAATAAGACAATAGTCTTAAGTTTGTTAGATGAAGCATTGTCAGTTACTAATTTATATACTTATCATTTCTATTTTATTTTATTATTGATTGATTTATTTACTGTACAGTATTTACATTAGTCGGACTATTGTCCTCATCTTTGTCGCCATATTTGTCACATTTCGGCTGTTGTATGCTCCTTCTTCAGGTGGTTGGAATTTCGAACTGAACCCTTTATTTCGATCACTGGGGCAGACTGTTCCACGTTTGATGGATGTCAGTTATCAGTTATATCCTGCTAATTTTCCCTCTGAAAGTTCTCCACTGAAGTATTGAACTCACCTTCTTTGGGTCTGTCACTGGATCTAACCAACGCCTTTATCCACTGTGCCACGTGTCCTTGAGGACATCTGGGTATGAACTTCTGAGTATTATAAACCTAATGTTTTCAGCATCATTTTTTACCAGTGCTCATATTGCAATTTTGCTGTTATCATTTCATGTCTTTACCAGAGTTCATATTGCAACTTTGTTATCATTGCTTTTCTCTGGCACTCCTTATTACTGGTTCTCATATTGTATTTATTTCTAAACGAAACGTTGTGACAAATATGGCGACAAAGATGAGGACAATCGTCCGACTAATGTAAATACTGTACATAATACCTCATCTCAGAAATATAGACAGACTGATTGTTTACTATTATAATAATTAGATAATGTGGTTCATTAATTAAATAAATATTTAATTATTATAATTATTACAGTAGAAGCCCTCATATCCGTATATGATTTTGATGTGTATATTTTGAATTATTAGGGTGATATGTAAGATTTGAAATTTCTGTTTTTCAGGAAATTTACTTTAGATAATTGCTTATCCTTATTTCACCCTAATGGCTTTTATTGGTGCAAAAAGATGATGAGAATAAGAGGAAAAGAACAACTTTGGAGTTATCGCAAAAAGTGGAAATTTTAAACAGACTAGACGCTGGTGAAAGTTCATTATAACTAATGGCTGGGTTCAACACAGGAATGTAAACATTGTATGATATAAAATTTTCCAAAAAATATTATCCAGCGTTCACATTGTCACAATGAACAAGGAAATAAAAAACATGATTGTGATGAAACCTGAACTGAAATTGAAAAAGCTATTGAAAAGGTTGTCAGTTTTACAAAAAAAAAAAAAAAAAATCTACTTTTGAATTGAATGAACATTTTAGGATAGAAGGTCTAAAAACATTAATTTTGGTTCTTTGCTTAACTTTTGAAATAAATACAAAGAAATTAAAAAAGAAATCTACTTTTGAATTGAATGAACATTTTAGAATAGAATTCTAACAACACATGGATTTAACGTAAGAAATAAATACGAAGAAAATGAAAAGTCTACTTTTGAATTGAACTATGAAATGTAAAGCCATGTAAGTAGATCATGACGCTTCTCGAAGATCATTCTACAAGGAACGATACAAGGAAGAATGAGAAGTTCTTTTACCAAACAAAAAGATGACCAGCCAACGGCATCGAATGAACCAGCGAAAATTTTTACCCAGCTACAGCTGTTGGCCATTGTCTGGTCCAAGTGGAGGCTTCTTGTTGAACCAGCCATCATGCAGTGCCCCTATGATTATGGGATGAAAGAAAATTCTAGAACAGATTGAAATGATATATTTGACTGGCTAAACTTCAAATCATCAATTGACTTGTCTATAATAGGGCTTAATAATAGGCAGGCCTTGGTTGGCAACCAATGTAGAAGAACAACTCTGAATTAAAAACTGATTTGGTAAAAATCTACTTTCTACAGAAACCAAAAGTGTAACATGGTGATGCTGTTGTCCTGTATGACGTAGGGAGAGATTAGGGAGAGTTAACATGCATGTTATATAGCAGAAATACCTCCCACATTTTAGAACAGGCATTGGCAACCTTTTTCAAGCAGTGGGCTACATGATCTATGGCTCATCACCAGGTGGGCCACACAACTAAAAAGAATCAAGGTAATTTTTCATAGTAGCTACCTCAACTATTTTCACTACAGAAGACCATATTTATAATAAGTATATAGCTTAGAAATGGGAGAAAAGTTTTATTTTTTAGAAAAGATACTTTTATAATTAAAAAGTTGAAGTCTTGGTTTAAATATTATAACTTATATGAGTGTGATTATCACATACCACTGTGTGTGATTTATTTCTAATTTATTCATTTGAAAATGAAAACATTTCTTCTTCAGAGAAAATATTATGAATTCTTCCTGCTTCAAAAGTAAAAGATGTTTACATGTATGATCTTCCTTAGTGAAAATCGCCAATGGCTTAAAATGATGAAAACGTTACTTTCACTGAAGTTTTACAAAATTCCAGAAACATTGTACTTAATCACTGTTTGTGTATTTGGTTATGTATGAAAGAATGTGTGAGTGAACAAGTGAGAATGAAACAAAATAAAATTTTAAGAAATGTTATTTTCTGTATGAAATTAAGCATGCCATTCAGAAAGACTAAACAGGCTGCATTTGGCCCGTGGGGCACAGTTTGCCCATGACTGATTTAGAACATCATTGTAGATAATGTCAGTAAGTTTTTTGCTCGAAGACATCAGTATATCATAGTAGGTACCCCAGTTACTTTCACAACAAAAGACTATCTAAGCATATAACTTAGAAATGGTAGGAAACGTTGTTTTTTATTTTTTTTTAATAGTTTTTATTAATTTAAAAATTTAAGACTTGGTATAATATTATTAATGGTGACAGTGTGATTAAAACACGTTGCTGTGTGTGATTTATTTCTAATTTACTCATTTGAAAATGAAAACTTTTCTTCTTTAGAGACAATATTTCTATGAATGTTTCCCATTTCAAAAGCAAAAGATATTTACATGTATGATATTCCTTAGTGAAAATCGCCAATGGGTTAAAATGATGAAAACGTTACTTTCACCGAAGTTTTACAAAATTCCAGAAACATTGTACTTAATCATTGTTTATGTATTTGGTTATGTACGAGAGAATGTGTGAGTGAACAAGTGAAAGCAAAATAAAATAAAATTTTAAGAAATGTTATTTTCCTTATGTAATTAAGCTTCCCATTCAGAAAGGCC